CTATAATCCCAGCACTTTGGGAGGCTGAGGCAGGTGGATCACGAGGTCAGGAGTTCAAGACCAGCCTGGCCAAGATGGTGAAACCCCGTCTCTACTAAAAATACAAAAATTAACCGGGTGTGGTGGCAGGTGCCTGTAATCCCAGCTACTCGGGAGGCTGAGGCAGGAGAATCAGGGTGGGGGATGGAGGGCGGAGATTACAGTGAGCCCAGATTGTGCCACTGCACTCCAGCCTTGGTGACAGACTCCATGTCAAAAAACATAATAACAAAATAAAATGTGGTATATATATACTGTGGAACATTATTCAGCCTTAAAAATAAGGAAATTCTGTCTTTTGTGACAACATGGATGAACCTGGGGACATGATGTTAAGTGAAATAAGCCAGGCACAGAAATATACCACAAGATCTCATATATGTGGAATGTAAAAATGTTGAACTCATAGAAGCAGTGGGTAGAATCATGGTTGCCAGGGGTAAGGGGTGGTGGAGAGAGAAAAAGAACAAAAAGTAAGATGTGCTCAAAAAGTAATGGAGGCATGTCAAATGGACTCAGGAGTCTGCTGGAAGGGGCTCACACTGGCCAAGGCAGGGACACCTGGAGCATAGAAATGAATGGTGGCAGTAATGAACTATAACATGTTGGAGAAAAATGAGTCCAAAGTCATACTAACCAATATAAAGAAAGAAAGAAAACGATGGAAAGCTATTAGTTGCAGTAAAATTCTACTAATACATATAGAGGAATAGAAGTATAATATCATCAAACAATAACTGATTTAGCAAGAATCCTAAATCTGTGCTTGAATGAAAGTTTTTGAGGAGGATATATACACAAATAATCTCTCTACAGATAAAATTCCTCTGGAATTAATTTTGGATGTCTAGTGTGAAGTGAGAATCTAAAATGATTTTTTTTCCCCAAAAACAGTAGCCCAGTTTTCAATCTCTTTTCCACAGAAATTGAACTGTAAGCGGTTTAATACAGATATTAGATGGTAAGCTTCTTGAGGACATGGACCGTGTAATGTTCACATATATTTTTATTTTTTAGGCTAGTCAAGTGAAGCAGTGGGATATGTTCATAATTTTATCCTTAGTGCAGTGTGCTTATATAACTAACACATTGCAGATTAAATTAGGGACTAAAAAATGTTTGTGGAGTGCACTTTTTTTCTTTTTTTTAAACCATAGATGGAGTTTCTACATACACTACAGTCTTCGTGGCTGGGCGATTTATTCCTTTCATATGATCTCTGTACCTATTTTATACTTCATGTAGGTTTATGAAATATTAACATATGGTGGTAATTACGAGGGCCTTTTTTGCTTATCTTAAATTTTTTTTTAAAATTTTTTTAAAGGAAGGTAGAGACTTGAGCATCTTTATGGGCTGAGGAGGAAGAGTCATTGGAAAAGGGGACGTTGCAGATATGCTGCAAGCTCGCAGACAGGAGAGGGTGAATTGGGGGCCAAAAGGATTGAGTTGGGGGAAGAAGAGGCCCCTTCCTCAGTGAGATGAGGGAGAAAGGCAGACGAGGGCAGGGGTGGATGTAGGTAAATGTTGTGGTGGGGGGGAATTAGGTTTGTTAAGGGTCATGCTCAGATAACTTGGGATATTTCACTTGGGTATAAAATAAGATTCTCTGCTGAGAATGATAGTCAAGGTAATGTGGGGGTGTGGTGGTGGTCTGGCGCAGCAGTAATGAGGTATGGGAGAAGCTGACTACAGACTCCCCAGAAAGATTGCCGAAGGGCCCAGCTGAGGATGGTGACTGGGATTTGCACTGGAATCAACCTGCAGGTTTCGATGGTACTTTCCAACTCAAGGAAAACTGGGTTGGGATTTGACAAAACTCTTGAGGAAAACGACTTACAGAATTTAAAGCTGTACTTCCCTTTAGGTTTCGTCTCCTTTCCATCCTCCCCTACCAAGCCCCACAACTGCGGCGGGCATGTTTTCTGCAGTTAACCGCACTGCGCTCTTAGCAGGACAGAAATAACGAATAACGCTAGCCAAGCTGAGCAAGATAGGGCTTGGTAACTTTATTTGCATCAGTATTTGCAACACAACACCTAAATGAAAAAGTTAACTATAAAGCCAACATCATTTACTCCGGGTCAGGGAACTGTGCCATTCGCTTTAAGTGCATTTACTTAATTTCAATAAAGTATTAAGAAGTGAGTCCTTTTATTAATCCGACTTTACACACCTGAGGTCTAAGTCCTAAATAAATAAGCAATTTGTTTAAGATCATATGGCTGGTTATTGGCGGAGTCATGCAGGTCTGGAAACAGGGTCCTCGCTAACTCCGGTTCAGTGCTACACGAGTGAACTGTCTACAACAACGCAGTGACATTGAGTGCCCACAGTATCGAACACATACGGTAATCGCAGTCCACCCAGCACCCGTGCAGAGCACCAAGCACCCATTCGGTGACCCCGCACGCGTGACGCTCACGAGCGCAGTCCCCCTGGCTTCTTCCAGGAAGGCTGAAGCGGCCTAATCTCGGGCAAAAGATCAGGACGACTCGATCTGGGCTGGACTTCTTCTGCCTGAGCATCTGATCCGAGCGCCGGGCGGGCTGGGAGGAGCCGGCCCCCGGGAAAGATTGCGGATTGGGGGACAGGAAAACAGAGGGCGGAGCCTTGGGGGGGAAGCAAGAAGCCGCAGCAACCATGTAAGCAGCTTCGCTTCTTACCGCAACCGTCCGCGGCCTGAGGAGCCCA